CCCATTTAACTTCACATCAGGATACCTGATTGTGCCACTACTTACTGGTGTGGCTGCTTTGTTCTAGTGCATTACCTACAGATATGTAATTTAATAATTAAATATCATATGTGAAATATTGTTACATTGGTATGAATCTGATACAGATAAACACAGGCATAATCCAAGGATAGCACGTGGCACCAAGCTGAGGTTCATATGATTTTCTTTTAAAAAGAAAATAAAACAATGAATGCAACCAAATTGCCAAAGTTGTTTCTGTTTCCCATTTCTAATGTCTCCAGGGACTAAGCACAAAACTATGCTGGAAGCTCGGAATGGAAGTGGAACCATAAAAGCCTTTCCCCGGGCAGGCGTAAAAGGCAAAGGACCTGTGAATAAAGGAAACACAGGCCTTCAGAACAAAACATTTCACTGTGAAATATGTGATGTGCACGTAAACTCTGAGACACAACTGAAACAGGTACTCAGCTAGCTTGCAGAGTGTGAATCCTTGGCTGTTCTTTGTTTTCATGGTGATAAAGTACCAACACAATCAGCATGTGTCACTGTAACAGTTCACATCCAAATGGAGCTTACGGATTTTGCCCTTTGTACTTGTCTTTCACGCTGTATGTTTTGTTTTGGATATGATTTTCCCTTGCACAGAATATATTTTCTCAAAAGCTCTTGATTTTATATATATGTCTTAAAGAGTTATAGAAGCTGTAAGCTGCAATATGTCTAAAGTTGTCTAAAGACAACTGTCTTTAGACTACTATAATTGTCATGAGCTAATAAACCTGCCATTTAGTATACTGCCTGATATTTGCCTTGACAAAGATGTGGAGGTGCGTGCAGCCAGTATTTTCACAAAACACTGAATAACCTGCTTAGAAATGCGGGATGGAGAGGATTTGTAATATTTTTTCATCAGCATTACTCTGTAACTGAGAAGCATGACCTCTAAATTGCAGTTACACTAAGTTATGTTCAGTCATTCTTCAGATGAACAAAGCCTTTGTTCTGAAAAACAGTTTAATTCCATATGCCTTTTGGAATTAAATACTTGTTAAGGTACTTTACAAGAATGAAAATAAATTCTGTAATGGACAATAGCAATACTTGTCTTCTGCTTTCAGGAGAAAAAAATGTCCAGTTCTTTGTCTTTTTTTGCAAGAACTCTCTTGAGAAAATCAAAATAAAAATATAGTTCTGAAAAAGGTCCCTTACATCTAATACTGCAGTAAAGTCTGTGTAGAAGGATTCTTGTAAAATCTCATAGATTTTATGAAGAAGATAATGGATTTTGTGGGTCTTTTTCATTGTCACCTAGTTTGATATGTAACCATCTTTCAGCTGAAATCTTAAAAGGCTATCTAGGAATCTTAGGGATTTAAACAATTTTCTGACATTCCACCCCCCCCCCCCCCCCCCAAATAGGGGATGCTCTACTATCTAATATTCTTCCAAAACTTTCTATCAGCAGTGCGTTGAATTTGATGGGTGCTTTATAGAGATAGGGAGGAATTTTTCCAAGGCTCCTATCTTTGACCTGATTCAGGTCCTGTTGAAGTTAACAAAGGTGAGAAAATCATTGACTACAGTGGAAGCAGAGTTGAACTGAGCACTGTGGAAAATCACAGTCCCAATATGTGATACACAAAGAATCATTCAAATTGGAACAGACCCTATTCCCATTCATTATTGAATTAGTCAAAGTAATGCTGTTGTGGAGAGCAGTAGCCTTCAGTATTGGAGCACCCTTGTGTAAAGCAGAATC